GGGAAAAAAGACGACACCTCTGCAGAGGTATTGACGGCCTCTCTTTTTGTGAATGTATGAATGCGAGCACTCATTTAAAAACTCACACACACACACATGCACAAAAGTCCCAGGGCTGGAAGATAAGAGAGGAGAGTGTTCTGTGGGGGGAAAAGCTTCCTCATTGGTGTGCAAGGCTGCACATGTTCCAACCCTCCCTTATATCCCCTGTGTGTGCATGCACATGTGCGTGTGTTTGTGTGTGTGTGCGCGTGAGCTCCCTTTCCTTCAGTGGCACTAAAAAGACACAGAGGACCTATTGTGCCTAAGGAAGGAAAATCACCCCATTCTGAGAAAGAGGGAGGAATGAACAGCTCTTCAGACTTCTCTCTCTCTCTTTCTTTTTCTTCATTCACACAGCAGCTGAAATGGCGAAGGCCACATGACAGCGTTTGCAGCTTTGCTTACCGCAGCAGCGTGTCTCTCCACGTCGACTTGCGGATGAAAGTGGCTCGATTCGGCTTCTGGCAGAGGGAGAGAAACGACAACCCGGACGAGCCCCCAGAGGAACAGCGGAAAAGGGGCAAGACAGTGAGGGAGGGAACAAGGGAGGGAAGTATCAGGATGTGGGGTCATGAGCTGTTTCATGCAGCAGGAACAGCAAACCAGCAATAAAGCAGTATTTTTAGTTTTTGGTTTTTTTTTTCAGGTGTTTGGAGCCACAGAGCTCACAAAACGCAATTTAGCTGCAAACGACATTATCCCAAAACTCTGCGGTTCCTGGCCGGTAATCGCAGGTTATTGAAACGATCTATCATGGAGGGATTGTGATTCTGTTGGGGATCGTCTGATGGAAGTGTCCCTGGTTCCCGGCCTGATGGATGAAAACGAGCGCGGCTCTGTGACTGGGTCAGTGGAGGAATCGAAACTTGGAGAAAGGATGCTCCCCGTTTGACTGATGGAAGTCATGCTTATGGGAATGTGGGAACGTTACAGAGGAATAAACATCTAACGATGTGTTAATGCGTAGAAACCAGTCTGCTGTAAACTGTAGGCAGATGTTGGTCACACTGATATTTTTGGTCCAATGTTCCAGCATGTCATCTTGAAGAAAACTCCCAAATTCAGCTGTTTGAAAATATTTCTGTGTTAAAATGAGAAACAGTGCTATCATGGAAACTATTACTCTTTAAAACTGCAGTTGGTAAGTGGGGAGTTGAAAGTCGGTTCAGACTAACTGTAGCTGAGAAAACAGAGCGACTAATTAACCAGCTAATCAAGTTTTACTTCTTATTAATTTACTACATATAGAGGGCCATACATCCTTAAAGTATGAAATGTATGGATCTAAAATGGAGGCCTTAAAACATCTTAAGTCATTAAAAACAATAAATTTGCCTTAAATACTTTAATCACAGGTCTTACATTTTTGTGGCAGGACTATTTAATCTCATATTCTTTGTAGTTTCCTTTTTTTTTCTTACATGTCCTTACTGTTCAGGAAAATTTTAAGTTTTGCACAACACCGGTAACTAGCGCCTAGCTAGCTAGTTAGCAAGAATAAAAGTAGATAGCTTTTTTTTTTCTTTTTTTTTTTTACCTCCATCATGGGTAAGTTCAAGTTTATCAGCAGTTGGCCCACATTTTAGCCTTTGGCTCACTTCTATTGCCAGTCCATACAATTTATTGATTTATGATTTTCTTTTGTATCTTTTTGTTATGATTCAAATTACATTCATAATACCCTAAAAAAGACATACATTTAATTCGGTGAAGCCTGAGAAAACTGTATGTAAAAAATTCCTCAATTACATGTAAAAATATTTTGACAACAATAGGTATACATAACAAAAAAGAAACAATTTAAACTTCTTGGAAATACACAAAGATGGATATTCACCTTGCATCTTGTCATAATACAGGTTAATCTGTCTGCAATAGATAGTGTTATTATAACTGTATCAATTATATTTTTTGATCAATGATCAGAATATTTGTTGCTTTTCTTTTTAAATCATAAGCAATCTGGTCTTTTTTATGGATTTGAACTAAATTTTGCTGCATTTTCATTAACATGTATCATTATCCTTATTTATTTATATATATATATATATATATATATATATATATATATATATATATATATATATATATATATACACACTTGGAGCTTCATAAAAGAAGCACAATATTCAGTTTTGTTTTGGCCCCACAATGATTTAAGGTTAAGTTTAGCCTTCGAGAAATGGTAAGATACTAGCTGCACATGACCTCTCAGCAGAACCCCACTCTGAAACAATCTGAACTAGCCCTTTAACAGCCTCCATTTCACAGCATGGCTTAGAAAGTCTGTGAAAATAACCAAATAAATTAAAGTTGATGATAAAATAGAAAACCTCCAGGTGCTTCCATAATGAACATTGAAAAAAAAATACATTCAAAGCACACACACGCACACCCACACCCACACACACACACACACACACACACACACACACACACACACACACAAATCCACAACTTTCTTAAATGGCACCATTTTGCTTTGAAGGAAGTGTGATGGAGCCAATATGGCTCCACAAAAGACTCATTTCGGATCCCACATCCTGGCCTCTGCAGCGCATTTTTAGTTCAAGGACCACTTTCTAGCCTTTCAGCAATCTAAAATGCATTTACTCTCCCAGGATATTTTATTTATTTATTTATTTTTTTGCCAGTCACCAGGGAGCTGTGAAATCTGTTTGAAAGTTGAAGAAAAAGCAAGCAAAATTTCAAACTGCTGAAATTGCCCTTCAGAGCAAACAAATCAAGCATTGATTAGGAGGAGAAAAAAAGGGCTGAAAGCAGCAAACAGAACCAGCTTGGCTGCAATAAACACGACTCTCCCAAAATCCCCGGGCTCAGGCTCCACTATTATTCCCGAAAAGATCTCCAGCAAAAATGTTTAAGAAGCAGAGAGGAAGGAGAGAGAAAGAAAGAGAGAGGAGAGAAATAATCAAAGAACAGCCCAACAGTTTGATGGTTCCATGGGGAAGAAAGTGAAACCTCCCGCCACATCACACTGCAAGGTGCTGCCAGTGCCAATTCAGCACCACAGACAGCAACACAATGAGCGGATGGAGAGAGAAAAGAAAGAACATGTGAGGAGAAAAAAAGGAGAAAGGAGGAGGAAAGAGAGAGGTGGAGAGACAGAGAGGAATTTGGCTGCTGTTAGGGCCATTCATAGGGAAAACAACAAGCCAATGTCAGCCAGAGCTGAAGGGCAGAAAACAGGGCCGTCCTCAGAAACCGTTAACATGTCAACCATCCTCACTGCAGCGTCAAGGCGGCTCCCTGAAACACAGTTTTCAGTCGTCCACATCTGATCCGCGTCGCCTTCCGGTGGCAAGGGGACGTTTCTCTGATGGCCTCCGCTGCAGACCTCACAGACTCGGCTTAACCACCAGGGTGCAGCGCGCTAATGTTTACCGCTCCGCTAATGACGCTTCCTCAGCACTAGAGCTTAGAAAGAAAACACATTCCTCCACGTTCATGCCGCTCCTGGGGCCAATCGGCCGCCGTTCTGGCAGTACAGCCACTTGAGTTAAACAAAGCGCTGACATTGGTTGAGTGTAGGCTGAGGGAGGAAGGGGGCAGACTGTAGAAGAGAGGTAAGGACCAGGAAACATTCAGCATTACGATCGCTACAGATGTTGAGTAATACCAAGGCTTTAAATACCTGCAGGTTCCAAACCACCAAACATTTTGCATCATCTTTTGCCTTTTAAAGCCTTTTTAAAAAGTTGCAAAACAAAATAACACTGAGGTTTTTTTTTTATTTTATTTTTCTTTTACACCTGATAATCTGACAGACTCGGCTCAGTTTAAGACCAAAATTTCCCTTTGAAAAAGCCGTTTACGCTCCTCACCTCTGGTGGTGCTGCACCAAAAATACTGAAATGACAGAAATACCTCTGAAGAAGACACAGAGCGCAACTTCCTTCTTCGGTCCGCTTGCATCCTCATATGCATAGGAACCACACCAGAGTTCACTTCAACCAAACTGACACAGAGGTTTGTAGGTGGATCAGATTATTCATTCACACCTTCACAAACGAACCGGACTTTCTAAGCAAACAGGCTGGAGTTTGTGAACGCATCCTAACTTTGCCGGAAATGTGACAGGTATCGCATGGAAAGAGCCTGGAAAAATCTATTTCACCAGCTCATCCCAGCTGGACAAGAACAGTTGGAACCCGGAAATATCAGGTTTTAAACAGTTTTGATTTAAAAAAAAAAAAAAAAGGCTTTCCTTTACACTGTTCCTGCAATTGACACAGTTTGTCAGGCAGCTACAACTCTTTCCATTCAACCTGAGGAAAAACTGAAAATAAGTGACAACTAAAGAGCAAAAGCAATGAGGTGGATTAGCTGAGCTAGCCAACAATTGATGGTGTCATCCAGGAAATGTTACCTTGGAATATCATCTCTGAGCTGTTCACATGTCATCAGATTGTCAAACAGCAACAATGTCTACAGTAAAACCAAAGATCCTTCCTGGCCACGACGACTCTGAAGATAGATATGACAACAATCAGTTTCCCTTTGGGATGAATAAAGCACAACATCCTGCTCAACAGTCAAACCTACTGAAAAACCAGCATGTTTCTTTCACACTTTAATATTATTATAACTGCTGTAAACAACGTCAGGTTGTTTTCATTTTTGTGCACTGATAAGATTTATTAGCTGCCTCTCCATTTGAAATATTCTCATATTCCTCATAATCCTTATGAATACAATAAAAGATGTGAGGTTATCATAGGAACCCATGCCTGGTCCTTTACTGAAAGGAGGAAAAAGCATCAATTAGATGATGACCACATCACCTTTCATTAGAGATGAAAGGAGCAGGAGCAATAACACATTAGCAATAACATAACATTCACATGCACACGCACACACACACAAACACACACACACAGAGCGCAACATCCACAACCAACCATGCACACTCTGAAAAAAAAATAAGACCTGGAAGCTCGGGGTCTTGACAAAGTGCTTCAGTGAAAATTTAATGGCGCAATCTTGCCGCACTGTATTGCTCCTCTACAGCATACAATGTTCTCTGTCAGTGGTACATTTCCAAAGACACTTCATAACCAAAGCAAAAATAACACCCTCTCCCTTCATCAAGAACCAATCAGATCTCCTCTCACACCCCGCCTCAGTTCCTTTGGAAGTCTTTTTTTTCCCTCTCTCTTTCATTTTTGTTTTAAACGGACAAATAAATCTGCTATTATACATAAAGGTTTGATTCATTAAAATACACCACTTTCAAAAAAAAACAAAAGAGGAACATTTTCATTTTGCAGAGAGCATTGTTGATAAAATCGATGAGTGCAAAGGCACTTTCTGGATTATAGTAAGATTTGCCGCTTGTTGGGTTTTCGAGAAAGCTTTTTCCTTGTCGTCTGAACGCTCGCCATTCGTCTGCGTAGGCTACATATGTACAGGAATGTCAATCAGTAGCGTCCCTCCTGCAAACGTTCAGGACTTGGCTATGCCCTCTCTCTCTCAACCTCCCTCTCTAGCAAATCACCAAAAGCAAAAGGCTGTAATTGTACACAGTTCTGTCCTTTCCATACCTGCCGTTATCCAAGTCTTTTGGAATATTTCTCTCTTTTTTTTAAAGAAATAAAACGAAATAATTTATATTTTTTCAGAAGGAAAAATAGAACTGCATAATAATATACTTCTTATATTCCTTTTATACATTTTGAAAAGAAAACAAAAAGGAGAAGAAAAGCAAAAGAGAAAAGAGACAACGAAGAGCGCGAGTTCACCTCCCGTCCATCACGTTGGGATTGAACACTAATACATAAGGTAGATATATAGAGAGGGCTATTAATGATGGTAACCGTGTGATTATGATGGGTGCTGGAGGAGAACGCCGTTGCTATCTTACAGTTGGCTCATGGCGGTCTGTTTCTCCAGAACCTCCAGGTAGTCCGGTTCCGTTTTTAGCTTCCCGGGGAGCAGCAGCGAAGGGTGCTCATTGTTTTTGGAGATGTGCTCCTGCCCGAAGTATTTCCTCGGAGTGCCGTACAGCACGGCTTTGTTCAACCTGTCCGGGTTGGTCAGGTGGCGCCGGGCCGCTGCCGCCTCATAGGGCGGCACGATGCAGGGTCTTTTAGGCAGCGTGCAAAAGTTGTAGGTGAAGGGAGGGGCGCCTGCTGCCGTCGGGAGCTCCTTGTTTGGCCTCTCCCCGATGTTCTGGTAGAGCATCTCTGGAGGCTCTGGGCTGCTCAGACCACATGTTGATGATTTATCCATAAAATCCACCGTGCTGATGGTGTAGGTCCCTGGGCTGCGGGTCAAGATGTCGTCCTTCTTTGCGTCCAGCGGCCCGAAGCTGAGCTCCTTCAGGTTTCGATAGTAAGTCACCTGCTCGCCGTCCTTCTGCATGTAAATGGGGTTTTGGCACATGGAGCCAACAGGCGGGGGGATGTAGTTATAAACGTGACTCTCGGAGCTCTTGTCGTGCGTTGGCTCCGGGGTGTAGGAGCCGTACTGCACTTGGAAAGAGTTAAGGTCTAGATTGTTGGCGCCCGTGGGGACGTGCTCCACCCCTTTGCGTCGCTTCAGGACAAAAACAAAAAGGCCTGCCCCGAAGCAGACCGACAAGATGAAGACCACGAGGAGGCCCAGAATCAGGACAGAAAGGGGCACCTCGGGGTGCAACTCTGGTGTCTGGAGGTGGGAATCCGTTGGGCTCGCCGAGCTGAACAAAGGGGAAGGGGAAGGGGACGGAGAGGCGGTGGCTTCGGTGCTGGGGCTAATTACCGTCGGGGCTTTTGTAGGAGGGGGCAGCTGCGGCGGAGGGGGCTCGCTGGGCTCAGGGCAAATAGCCTCGTTGCGGAGCGAGCGAAGCAGCCGACCAGCGTGCTTCGAGGGCGAATCACAGGTGATTTCGTTGACCACCACGCTTGTACTGGACAGCTCCATCCAGTTCTTCAACGCCACAATGTTGCAGGTGCAGTCCCAGGGGTTCTCCTGCAGATCGATCTGGATGAACGCCGACAGCTGGTCCAGAACGCCTTGAACCGGGAGGTAGGAGAAATGATTGTTCCTCAGGTTGAGTCGGGTCAGCATGGTTCCCCCAAAAACATTGTCAGGAAGTGATCTTAGCAGATTATTGTTGAGGAAAAGCAGCTGGAGGTTGTGCAGAGAGTTGAATGTCTGTGGTAGAATCTCTTTTATGATGTTGTATTCCAGATACAGGTACTGCAGAGACTGCAGACCAGCAAACAGGGACTGAGAGAGCGACTCAATGTAATTCCCATTAAGGTAGAGGCGCCTGAGATTTGTCAAGTTCTCAAATGCGCCTTCCTGAATCACTGCAATCCTGTTATTCCCCAGATGGAGCAGCTCCAGGGAGCTGTATTCCGTCAGATCCGTTCTGTAGATCATCTGCAGGTAATTCCCTGTGAGGTGGAGCTTCCTGGGGTATGTGGGTTTGGGGTTCAGTTCGCTGATGTTCTGCAGTTTCCGTTCTTGACAGTTGATGTTCAGGCCGCTGTCGGGGTTTTGCGACGTACAAACACACACGCTGGGACACAGCATGGGGACAGGAGAGCGAGTTTGGTACACCATTATGGGTCCAAAGACATGCTTGTCTTTGGAGAGGCGAGGAGTGGGTCTGTAGCGCATCTTTGGGGGCCGGGACGCTTTTGGAGAGCGAGTGGGGGTGATGACACCTGCGTGGTAGGTCGGGTGTGGGGCCCCTTGGAAGTGAGAGTCGGAGGCGGACTGAGCCCGTTCCCCAGCATTCCTGCGAGGACACAAGTCCTGCTTTATGAGCTGAGTGATGTCCTTCCCGTGCAGCCGGAACGGCGTCTCACACACAATGTCCCCCACGAAGACGGAGATGGTGTCCAGCCAGGACTTGAGGGGGATCAGGTCGCAGGTGCAGTTCCATGGGTTCTCCTCCAGCTGGATCTCCATGATGCCGCCGATGTGCTCCAGCACGCCAGCAAATGGCAGCATCTTCAGCCGATTGCCACGTAAATCCAGATGGGTGAGCAGCACAAAACGGAAGATGTTGGGAGGCAGAGCCAACAGCAGGTTGTCATTGAGGATCAGCACTTTGAGCTTGTTCAGCTTGCTGAAAGCACCAGGCTCTATAGTGCTGATGTAATTATAGTCTGCCTGTAAATATTCCAAACTCTCCAGTCCTGCAAACGTGTCCTCTTTAATCACTTCCAGGTTGTTGTTGTTCAGGTGGAGCCGCTTGAGGAACCGGAGACCATTGAAAGCCCCCGTTTGAATCTCCTGTAAGCCATTATTTCCCAGATGTAGAGAGGTGACATTGCCATAACTGACAAACTCATTGGCACTGAGCCTTGACAGGAAGTTTGCGTTCAGAAAAAGCTGTGAGACTTTATTCGGAGGCGCCTGCAACTGGCTGACAGTGGTAAATCCCTTATTCTCACAGTTGATGTTAAGAACGTTCTCCCGCTCCTCACAGTCGCAACGCGTCTTGCAGATGTCTTTGAGGGCTGAAGTTTTGCGGCTTTGTGTTTCGGACAGTGTCAGGCTGGTGACGGTGAGGACGCTCAGGAACAGGACGCCGCTCAGCATGTTTACAGTCAAAAATATGGATTCAGTGTTGAACTTCGCAGCCTGAGCATCGGGCGCAAAAACGGGGGGAGGGAGCGGATTCCCACAAGACTGGAGAGGGGAAGAAAAAGGAAGCAGGAGCGCTCATACACACACAGACACATGCACACACGTTCACGCACACGGGAAAAAAGGCGCACCAGCTATATTTGGTGTCAAAACGGAGACCATGACGCACTGGGTTGGCGCAAACCTTCAGTAGGAACTCCAAATAAAATAGTACATGTCGTAGAGAGGGGGGTAAAAAAAGAAAAGGGGGAATCAGTCCTGGGGAGTGAAAAGAAGGAAAAGGCGAAAATTAAGAGAATCCTTCATAGCTGGTGGAGCTGGCACATTTTCAGCAGCTCACTGCAGCCCTCCTTCCTCCGTCTCATTCTGGGGGAGCCTCCCACTCTGCCGCTCCACCAACACAACCCCGGCGCCTCATTCCAGTCCAGACATAAACAAATGAAGAAGAAAAATATATATATCACTTTTATATATATATATATATATATATATATATATATATATATATATATATATATATATATATATATATAGATAGATAGATAGATAGATAGATAGATAGATAGATAGATAGATAGATCCCAATGGAATGCGCAAATGCGCGCGAGCTACGCGGCTGTTTCTCCTTCTGCTTCTCCCAGAGCTCCGGAGCCAAGTGAAGAAAATGTCAAAGAGAGAGGAGAGGAAAAAAACACCGGAGACACCGCGAGGAAGCTGAGAAACTACAGCGCGTGCCCCCCCTCTCGCCAGTCCTTCCTCCTCCTCCGCTCCGTTCACTGAGAGGAGCACCGAGTGTCTGCTGCTGCTGCTGCCGCGGCGCGAGAGTCCGAGTGTGTGCGCGCGCGTGAAAAGGAGCGAGCGAGAGAGAGAGAGAGAGGGAGAGAGAGAGAAAGAGAGAGAGAGAGGAGCTCAGGGGCCCCTTACGTCACCGACACTGTCAACAGGAACACGCACGCCCCGACACACGTGTACGTAGACTCTCTTGGGAGAGATCGTCACCCTGAGAAACAGCGCGCAGACGGTTGGGACCCTGTTCTGCCGGACTTCCGAAGTTTCCGGAAATACTTTTTTGTTTCCGTTTTATTTTGAATGAGGAGAAAAAAAGATTTTCCTTAGGTTGAAAAAGTTTCAACAGTAGGGTAAAGTAATGGAGCTGGCTGATGAAGAGTTAAACACATCTTCTATCTGCCGCTCAGATACACATAGCTTTTATTATCATTATTATTTTTTCCATACGACACCACTAGGCGGCAGAAAAGGCTCGACGTGTCTCATTTTTTGTCTCCCTGCCTCTGTTTCTCCTGTTTCTCCTGTTTTTTTTTGTTTTTGTTTTTTTTGTTTCCAGTCGTTATCTCTCCCTCTCACATTTGCAGCCCCTCGTTGTGTCAGCTTATTGACATGCCATTATCATCAGAAGAATGAGAGTCATACATCGAGCTGGGAAAAGAGCACTTCTGTCCTGCTCAAGGCCTCCACCAGAGGCGAGCAGATACAACGCGGCTCTAATTAAACGAAAAGAAAGGCAGATTGTTTGTGATATATGGTCCTTTGTTTCTGCACACGTACCCAGCAAGCATTTCATAAGAAGCAGTCAGACGGAACGGAATATTATAATTCCTATAAATATTATGATTTTTTTTTTTAAGTTGTCAGTTTTTGTTCACCTTATCAACCATTCAGGATTTTTCCTCTTTGCTCAATGAATGAAATGTTTGATACCATGTTCTGCTGCTGTGGGTTATTGGTATCTCAAATATGCGACACAACCTTAGCATCTTTTATTTTTCTGTACTGACCTTCAATCCACTATCAAAAAAAAATAATAATAATGTGAGCCACAAATTTAAGGGTAAGGATTATTAGGATTGCATGTCATAGTTTAACACAATCTAATGCATAATTGTGGAAGCAAGATTTTCAAAATGTCTGCTCAAAAAGATGCAATTGTATTGAGTACCGTTTCATCTGATGCCGTGATATATAATCCACTCAAATAATTAGTCTCAGTAGACACAAAGACTACGACATACTCAGGTGTACTGTACATACATAGGCGTAAATGCTGGGGAGTCGGGGGAGTCCAAACCCCCCCCAATCTTGGAAAAGTCTAGAATTGTCCCCCCCCCCAAAGAAATCATGAAAGAAACCCTTGTATTTGAACAGTGCCAATATAAGAAAGGCAATAGAAACAAAGAACAAAGTAAATCTGCCATTCATCTAAGAAAAAAATAATTAATTTTTAGGTCCCCCCCACTATTGTTAGAACAATGGTTCAGGCCAAAGGGTAGGAGGAGCAACCACTGCCTGCTGAAGACAGGCTCTGTTAGAGCCGCTGAAGTAAGGAGCTAGCTGTTGTTGTGGCTTTGCAGCACTAACAAAAAACCCTCCAGTAAGTAAATACTTAAAGCAAAAGACATGTAACCTGTTTTATTTACTTTCACTGCTCAATAGGAAGAAACACATTGACAATAAACAGTTCGTTATTTCATTACTTTGGCTGAATCATGATAAACTGCTTTGTTATGCCTTGGAAATCAAAGCTAGCTAAACTGCTACATTGCTCTCAGAGACTTGGGTCCTTTTTCTGTCGAAGGTAGCCAATATTTCAATTATATTTAGCTCTCTAACTCTTACTTTAATAAGAAGAGTTTGAAACGGGAGGTAGCGGCTGAGCATTACCACTAGCCGACAGCTCTGTATGGGAGCCGAGAGCAGAGGGGCTATAGCAGCTGACAGGAAAACAAAATAAAGTATGCCTTTATTTCTTACCATCTTCAACGTAGAGCCTTTAAAACCACAAAATAAAATGAATATTTTTCTAGAAAACTCTGGTGCTGACCTTTAAGTTTAAGTTATGATACTTCCCAAATATTCAATTCCTACATATTTATAGGTTCTCAGCCATCCAGGACATGAAAAAACCACATCAAAAATAAAAGTTTAAAGCAACTTAAGTTATAGTTTAAATAACACGTGATTTGTCTTGAGAACCACTGCAATAAATCAATATTTATGAGGAATTTTATTAAGTGGAGTTACTTCTTAAACTTGTTTTTATTTAGAGCCTTAAGTGTTTGTAAAGATGTAGCAGAGATTAGATGAATCAAACTCAATTTTAAGCAACATTTGAATCTTAGTTTGACTTCTATGGGTCTCAACAGGTTGTTTACTGAGAAAAACACTTTGGTTATTCATTGCTACTTACTAGTCATTTTTGATGGTGCAGCTTGAACACACACAAAAAAAAAAAAACACACAAAAAAAAAACACATTTTACTATAACTTTGCCAACCCGCCCAAATTTGCTCTTAAAAAATCCCCTGTTTATGGTCCACCCCAATAATGAGATGGGATTTACACCCTTGTGTACATACTCTATGAAATGTCATAGTGCAGTGTTATAGTTCTCGTGACAAATTCATTTGTTTCCCACAATATGAACAAATACTAGAAAGTTTGGCATCTGAGCTAGCTGGGTGCCTAGCCCTGATTCATAGGTGCTGCATTGAAAGTGGCAATACGCTACACATCATTGAGAGTGGTTGAGCTGACTCTCAACATTATGAGTTTGGTGCTGCACACAAAACAATTTGATGTGGTCATTGTTTCCCGGAGCAGTTTACTGTCCGACTCTGAGTACGCAGTTGTAAAAATGTGCCTTTGTGCGGAAGTCCGCTTTGAGGATTGCAGTAATCGAGTTCATGTGAGTTCATAGCCTGTGAGGTGAACTGTTTCTACAGTAGTCCAGTTCTAAAACATTATCCTGAGCTTTAAACATCTGTTCATGTTATCACCTGAACATGGAGGTAGGACTCCAGACCTGCCTCAGGTTTCTGGTCTGTGTGGGTGTGGCCAACCTGCTGCAGTCTCCATAGCTGGCTGCAATTATCCGATCACCTGCTGGACAACAGCTTTTCACCAGGTGGTCAGCCTTTCTGGGTGGAACTAAGCCACAGCATTCCTGCTTTGTTTATAGGAGCAGCATTATGTAAAATCAACGTTTTTGATCTTTACATCATGTTATATTATTACCTCATCAAAAACATACCTGCAGTGTTGTCTGGATTCTTTTATGCATGTTTGAGAAATCATTTAAACTCCTCTGGCAAACATTCGGCTGTGCAAAACACATATGTCAAATATGGCTTATAAGAAATTTGACTTTGTAATTTTTAGCCTTGAAATTGGGTCGGTGTCTCTTTAAAGAATCCTGCTCTTTCTGAAACTCCACCTTCAGGAAGTCATCACAGCTATTCACTCTCTATCAGCAATTTATCAACATTTTTATCAGAGCTGCACTGAGAAGCAGCTCCTATAATGAGCTCAATAGAAGTGCCCCCAGGTGTTTGCTGATTGCTGCTGGCTATTCTGAAGGAGCTGAATGGGGGAGTTGCTTGTGAAGTGAAAGCTTG